GAGAGCATTGCAGGCACGGGGCATGGCAGGGATGGCCCATTCAAAGGCAGAAATGCCAGATGGAATACTGTGTCCTGGCAATAGCAAGCTGGCTGGAAAATATAGCATAAAGGGGAGCAATGTGAAATCAGTCTGGAAAGGGAAGCTGAAGGGTTTTAACAGTCAATTTAAGGAGTTCATGTTTTATCTTAAAGACTACAAGTAGGTACTCAAGTTCCTACGCGGAGATCTCTCATGCCACTCCTACTCAACAATCTTCGGGGGCTCCCTATTGCCTACAAAGTAAAATTCAAAACCCTTTGCCTGGCATTCAAGGCCCAGCCTGCCTGACTGCCGTTTGTCTTTTCAAGTTTATTTCAAGCTTTCCTGTTCTCTGCACCAGATAAACAGTACTGCTCCACCCCTCAGCTATGATTTGAACTTTCCTGCCTTTGTGGGACTTTTCCAGACTGTTCTCTGTACCTAAAATTACCTTCCCTTCATCACCTGTTGAATTCCTGCTCATCATTTAAAGCCCAACTCAAAAGCCACCTCCTCCAGGAACCTCCCAACCTGTAACTACTTTTTTTCTCTTTGGACCTCACATGGCACATTGTTTATTACCCCTCTAATGCGTTTAAAATATATTGCATTATAATCATCATGCTCATCAGGAAATAATCATTTATTAAGAACCTCCTCTTCACCAGGCCCTATGCTAAACATTTTATAAATATCGTATTTGATCCTCACAACTACCCTGGGAGGTAAGTGCTATTATTATCTCCATTTTACAGTTAAGGAAACTGAGGCAAACAGAAGTTAAGTGATTTGCCCAGGGTCACACAGCTAATAAGTGTCTGAAGCTGGATTTGAACTCAGGTCTCTCTGACTCTAGGCCCAATCCTTACTCCACTGTACCCTAAATGCCTCAGTAGCTCATACGTATATAGCGTGTCAGGTTTACAGAGCACTTTCTCAAAGCAAGTACAAATGTTATAATTCCCATATTACAGATGAGGAAACTGAAGATCATAGAGGCAAAATGACTTGCTTAGAGTAACACAACATAGCTAGTTAGTAGCAAAGTCAAGACCTAACCTCAGATTTTCTGACAAAATTACATTGTCTCTTCTAACCCATGTTATGCTATATATAGGCATCACAGAGCAGCAAGAGACCTTATCAGTCGTCTTCATCCAACTCCCTAATTTTCCGTATGAGCAAACCAAGGTCCAAGTTAGTTGATTAACCCAAGATTATCCACCTAGGACTTGGATTCAGACCTGCTGACTTTGCATCCAGTGCTCTTTCTAATAAACCCCAGAGCATCATGTTTAGGTATATATGTCCTATATTTTAAAAGGAGGATACTGTGATATCTGTGTCAAAGTATTTCTACTTTCTCTTGGCAACACTTCCTAGGGGGACACTTTTCCCCCAAGGAAGGCAAGAGAGTCGATTGAGAGCCTCCTACTCTTAGAAGATATCAGGAATAAAAGTGATTCGTTAAATTGGTTGTTATCCTACTCTCCCTAGGTGCTTGGGGTGGAATGTATAAAGGATATTGTTCTTGTTCAGTCATACTCTTTGTGACCCTGTTTTGGGGTTTTCTTGGCAAAGATACTGGAATGATTTGCCATATCCTTCTTCATCTTATTTTACAGATGAAGAAACTGAGGCAGACAGGGTTAAGTGACTTACCCAGGGTCACATAGCCAGTAAGTGTCTGAGGCAGGATTTGAATTCAGGAAGATGAGTCTTCCTGACTCCAGGCTTGGTGCTCTATCCACTACCCCCTGAAGGATATACAAAGATACCATACTAGGTCCCCCACAAACCTCAGCTTGACAGTGAAGGTGGGGATACTCTCTCCAAAAGTCACCATTACAATCTCCATGAATTACCTGGAAGCTAACCTTCTAAGTCTCTCATATTGGTTCAGTAGCAGGACTTCATTTCTCACATTAACTCCCTGTCCCCTCAGTTACTCTTGGCCTGAAGTAGGCTCCTGAAGACCCCACCTATTGAATTAGAGCCAGGTAGGGTATATTGCCCATATTATGTATGACCCACCAGAAAGGGCAAATTTGAGCGTATGCTCCAAAGAATGGGCCCTCACCATTACAAAAACAAAAACCTTTCTACCAAGAGAAGGGAGGAATATTTCATCTTCAGTTCTCTGAGATCACAAATGGCCATTGCATTGATCTAAGTTCGGGCATCTATAGCTGATGTTTCCCTTTCCATTATTGTGGTCATTATGCATATTGTTCTGATACTGTTTATTTTGCTACTTGGACCTTGAGGGAATAAGCCACAGGACAGATAAGTTTCTATTGTAACAGAAAGGGCTCTAGACAGGGACTTAAGAGATCTGAGTCCTACTCATAGCCCTTCCTGAGTGACTTTGGGCAAGTCACTTAACTTATATGTGCCTTCATTGTCTCAGATCTAAAATGAGAGGCTTGGAATATGTGATTTTTTAAGGTTTCTTCCAGTTTGAGCATTCTTTCACTCATTTATGAATGCGGCAAAGAAGGAGAACATAGCTCCCAAGCAAGGTAACATAGAGGTGACCCAGAACCTGCGCTATACTAGAGGAGATGCCAAAAAAGAAAGAAGGAAAAGGGCTCAGAAGACATATCCTACTTTCCAGTTTTCATCTAGGCAGAGTCAGCTGGGGAGTAAACAGGTGTGCCCTAGAAACTGGAGCACAGCACCATACTGAACCCTATGCCTCCCTTTGCACTGTGTATGAACAGTGGAAGACAAGAGGCATAAGATCAAGAGCCAGAAGGGGCCTCAGCCATCACCTAGTCTAATCCTTCCATTTTACAGATGAGAATTTGAGGCCCTAATAGGAAATGTGACTTGCCCAAAGTCACAAATAGCAGAGCAAGAATCTGAACTCTGCCTCCAAAGTTCTTCTGTTGCTTTACACTGGGCAAGTATTATCTCCATCTCCATTTTACAAAGGAGGAAATTGAGTCTCTGGTGTATGATTTGAACCCAGGTTCTCTAACTCCTAAGCTCATGCTTTATCTATGGCATTGGATAGAATAGCTGCTACTTCTCTATGAGTTGTTTAGGAAGATGAGATTAACATACATGGAATAACCAGAGAGCAATATGAAGTCATATATAATCAGATGCTAAGAGGATTACAATCACCTGGGGGTTGGGCAATTGGGGCAGCATATGTGAAAGACTGACTTCTCTTGGGTTTTGAAAGACCAGTAGGAAGGTAAGGGGTACAAGAATGCCTGGAGTCAGAAAGATCTGAGTTCAAATCTGGTCTCACCTCTGTCTGCCTTAGTTTAATCATCTATAAAATGGGAATAATAATCATCCCTACCTTGCAGGGTTGTTGTGAGGATCAAATGTGCATTTTTGTAAACCACTTAGCATTTTGCCTTGTGTATAGTAGGCACTGAATAAATATTCTTTCTCTTCTTCCTTTTTCCATTGGGAAGGTGATAGGCAGATTAAAAGGAAAAAGACATTTCAGTCTGAGCAAGCAGAATGAACAAAGTCAGAAAAATGGAAAGAAATACCCTATGTGGGAAATAATGAGATAAACCTGACAAGAAATCAGAGTTTGCATTGGGAAATGGGGAAGGGGAAAGTTGGATAGGCAGGGTGGCGCCAGATCACAGAAAAGTCCCTAATTTAATGGGAAGGCAATGCAGACTTATTAATAAACAAGTCACTGTCCATGGTAGTGTTTTCGGTGGTCAGATGGGGCAGACTCAGCTTAAGTCTCTCCTTCTGCAAGAGGCCTTTCCAGGTCTCCCACAGGTGGTAATGCCCTCCACCTCTCATCTTAACTTCATCTACTCTCTATCTATCTGGTATGTAACTAGTTTCCTTTAAAATATACACTCCATGGGGCAGCTAGGTGGTAAAGTGGATACAGTGCCGGCCCTGGAGTCTGGAGGACCTGAGTTCAAATCCAGCCTCAGACACATAATGCTTCCCAGCTGTGTGACTCTGGGCAAGTCACTTAACCCCAATTGCCTCACTAAAACATATATATATATATTAGTATATATATATGTATATATATATGTATATATATTAGTAAATTAGCAAGCATTAGTAAATACTTCTTGGCTAACTGTAATATGGTGGTGGATTGGGGTGGGGACACACAAGAGAAAGGAGCCAGTTAGAAGGGGGATAGTCCAATGATGGGGTTGTAAAGGTCTGGAGTATGACAGGAACTAAAAGGAAGACCTAGATATGAGAGAAACACTTCGGAAGAAGAAGGTCATAATGAGATGGTGACAAAGTAAATATAGGGTGGGAAGAGAGAAAAGAGGACTCAAATGTCACCTCATTCTCATCAAAATGCAACTAGATCTTCAGTCCAGTGACACTGACCTACTTGCAGTTTCTTACACAAGAGACTCTATCTGATTCTTGTGTGTTTTCACTGGCACTCTGCCATGACTAGAAGGCTCTCCCCATTATCTTTGCCTCTGCCTTCTCTGGATTCCTTGAAATCCCAGGTTAAATCCCGCCGTCTACAGGAGGCCTTCCCCATCTCTTAATTTTAATGACTTCCTTCTGCCAATAATTTCCTATTTATCCTGTTTGTTAAAGGTTGTTTGTATGCACATAGTTGTTTATCTCCCCCGTTAGCTTGTGAGCTTCTCAAGGGCAGGGACTATCTTTTGTCCTGTATATCCACACAATGTAAGGCTCGTAGTAGGGCCTTAATCTTTATTGATTGAATAACCCTTTTCCCCCGTTGAAAGTCATCACGTTTGGGTTATTTTCTTTTTAAGTCAGTTTATTGGACGAGAGAGCTACCGTGTGAAAGCTCTAGAAAGCTCTTCTAAGAGAAACCAACTGTTTATATAAATGTGCATATATGCATGTGCTCTTTGGGGCAAAATGTTTCAAGGACCATATGGGGACAGGGGTCTGGAAGAATGGAAGGGGCTGGGGGTGGGGCTGTGCACAAGTGTAAGAGAAAGTACAGCAAATTTCTGCGCCTGTGGAGGGTGCAGAGAGCGGTGGCCCGGTCCACAGCCTGAGCAAGCATGGGGCGTTCTGCTATTTCTGCTGCGGCAGCAGCTGCGGCTTCTTCTGCTAAGAGGCTCAGGCGCGGCGCTGTGTGAGGCTCCCGCAGACCCAGTCAGTCTGCAAAAGCCCAACCCCAGACTGGTGCCTCACTCTCTCTGCCCCTTGTTATCCACCAGAGTAAGGAAGGACACCTCCGGAAAGGAAACCTGGCCGCATCCTTTGCCCTGAGGCAGACAGCCTGGAATGAGCCACTGCTGACATGTGCAGGATGTCTTTCAAGGTAAGCCCCCCGCAGGGGCAGGAGGGAAGGGAAGGGTGCATCGCCCCGGCAGGAAGGCCAGACATCTGGACTGACCCAGATAGGATGCTCTGGCGTCCTGGTCTCAGGCTGCAGAATCCCGGGGTGGGGGACCCAGCGTACCTCTCACCCAGAAACTTCCTCTCCTTGACCTTGGGTTGCCAGTGCTGATGCGGGTGCAGGTGCGGGCGCCAGCTGAGCATTTGAGCAGAGTGAAAGACAGCGCTCTCTACCCCTACTCCCCAGCTGGCGGGGCGGGGAAGGAGATGATGGAGATGGAGGTTTGCGTCTAGTGTACGATTTTCTTGTTTGGTTTGGGTTTGAAAGATCCTCTTTCTTTTCTAAGTGAGCCGAGGATGGTGTGATAGAATAAATAGACACAGTGTGGGAATTCACAGGTCTTCAAACTGGGATATGTGAAAGAAGGTAGAAGAGACGGGGTGGGGGGGCAGGGAGGGTTGAATGAAATAAGATTGTGGGAGGTCAGCTCTTTCTGACCAGGGCAGTCATGCCTCTCTCTGCAAGGACTACAGATTCCGAAACCAGTTTTCTCAGGTTTCGGTTTCTTTTCCACAAACCCTTGGCGACATCTGCACAAACATCTGCATACTCTCCTTCCTCATTATTAGACTCTATTGAAGAGCTGGGCCTTTGAAATTAGCAAAGTCTCGGATCGAATGACTCACTATAGCGTGAAACCATAGGTGGCTACCAGGATGCCGGGATTAAGGAAGAAACCATTTGGTTTAAAAACTCAGCAGAGAATGTTTGGGGTATAACCTGACCTAACTCTCCTTGGAAATCGGGAGGGGTCTTACTAAGATAAATCTGCTTTTTTTCTTTTATAACTTCTACAGAGCCTTTTCTTTATTGCTCAATAAATTGCAATCGTCCAAACAATTTTTTTTTAACAAACTATCCATTTTGGCATCTTGGATTATTAAAGCTAGATTCTAAAATTTTTATCTAATTTTCACATTGGGACTATCTACCACCTCCCCCAGACTTTGGCAATGTTCATACATTGAAAATATTTCAAGCTCACAATTTTCTGTCTGTTTCTTACTTTCCATTCTCATTCTGTATGCCAATTAAATGTGTATTAATAACATTTGTAACCTGAATCCCAAAAGTCTCCCTTGGCGGGGGTGGGGGGGTGGGGGGGTGGGGGTGGGGGTGGAGAAGACACTTGATATGTCTATTCTGTTTCCCTTTAAGCCACACAACACCCCCCATGCTACCTGTGGAAAGACAGCCTTCCTACACATTCATATAGGGCTTCACACACAAAAACATCATTTTGATTACAATTCCATGATGTGAGTAATGCGTGATTATTACCATTTGAAAGGAGAGGAAAATGAGAGATAAAACCACCTGCCCAAGGTCAAAGAACTAGTAAGTGGCAGAATCAGAACTAGAACCCATATCTGGATTCAATGCCTTCCCCTACACTAGGATGCTTCTGCTTTATTAATTTGGGTGGGTTTTTGTTTTGTTTTGTTTTTAGCTATTCATAGTATGCCAAAAGAGTGTCAACATAGAGTAGTAGTTAGAACTATACTTGAAGCCAGAAAGACCTGGTTCAAGTTCTTCCCTGACAAATGCTAGATATGTGTGACTCTAGGTAAGTCACTTAACCTCATAATGCTCTAAATAAATCTCAAACTGTAAGTTACAGAAAGGGTGCTAATTTGCATTGGTAGAGGGAGTTTCCCCAGCCAGGAACTTCCTTTATCCATGAAATCTTATATCTGTAAGGCTCCTATCCCCAATACATCTATACCCCAATATGGTATATATGATAAATTTTAATTTAATCATTTTAAATTATCCAAATTTAAATTTACAGTAGGAACTTAATGTTTTGCTTGATTTATATAAGCATCACATTTTGATTCTGTTTTATATGGCTAGTTTTTCATCCATTCTTTGCATAAATAATGTATTTTGTCACATCACAGAATCTGAGTTGGAAGGAATCTCAGAGGCGAACTAATCCCATCCATCCCTCAAAAAATCACTTCCTATATGTTTAACATGATTGCATATGCATAACCTATATCAGATTGCTTGCTGTTTTAGGGAGTGGGGAAGGGAAGAAGGAAGGAAGAAAAAATTTGGAACTCAAAATCTTATAAAAAATGAATGTTGAAAACTATCTTTACATGTAGTTGGGAGGGGAATGAAATACTATTTACACAAAAATGAAAAAGGGGAATTATAATGGAGAAGAAATAAAAAATAATAATCAGAAAAAAAGAATAAAAAATAAAAATCACTTCCACAATATCCGTTTATCATTATTTATTTATTTATCATCTGCTTATAGACTTTTAATGAGAGGCAGGTGACCCCATCCCATTGCACTTTTGGATGGCACTAATTTTTCAGGAGTTTTTCCGTAAATTGAGCCTTAGTGCCCATAAACAACTTCCATCCACTCCTAGTAGAGAACCAGATTTGCCCCTCAAGGAGGAGCTAGCATGTCCGATGCTTGAAAGCAGCTACCATGCCCCCACTAAGCCATATCTTTTCCAAGCTAAATATCCCTGATTCCCTTAACTAATCCTTTTACAACTTGCTCCTTAAGGCCTTTCACCCATCCTGAGCATACTTTTCTGCATACATTTCAAAGACATCTTTCTATGGGACCCCTAATGAAACAGTACTCTGGGTGTGGTCTAACTTAAGACAAAGGCTTAGCAGAATTCAAACCTGGACACTAAGACTGAATTTGCAGAACATCATCCCCCACCATCTTTCTCACAAGAGTCATTGTGTAGCTCTTTCTCCCTCAGCCTGTGTTTGTGAAGTTAATTTATATAACCTCAATGTAGATTTGTACTTATCACATTTTATTCAGTCTTATTTGATGTACCCATCAGTCTTACCTGGCAAGATCTTTTGGATTCGGATTCTGGCATCCAATATATCCCTTATCCCTGCAAACTTCAGGTAATCTGCAGATTTGACATATGTGTCATTTAGTTGTTATTGTTGTTCAGTCATTTCAGTCGTGTACAACTCTTTGTGACCCCATTTAGGTTTTCTTGGCAAAGACACTGGAGTGGTCTGCCAATTCCTTCTCCAGCTCGTTTTCCAGATAAGGAAATTGAGTCAAACAAGGTTAAGTGACTTATCCCAGGTCACACAGCTAGTAAGTACCTGAAGCCAGATTTGAACTCAGGAAACTAGGAGGGGCAGTGGATAGAGTGTCATGCCAGAAGTTAAGAAGACCCCTCTTATTGAGTTCAAATCTGGCCTCAGACACTTATTAGCTATGTGACCCTGGCCAAGTCACTTAAGTCTATTTGCCTCAGTTTCCTCATCTGTAAAATGAGCTGGAGAAGGAAATGGCAGACCACTCCAGTTTCCTTGCCAAGAAAACCTCAGAAGGGTCACAAAGAGTTGGACACGACTGAAAAAAGACTAAGCAACAGCAAAACTTCCTGACTGCAGGTCCTGGAGCTCTACCCACCGCACCACCTGACTGCCCTGTCACTTATATCTTCATCCAATCATTTATAAAAGTTTTGAAGAGTACAAGACCGTGAACAATCCCTGAGGCACTTTCCTACAGACCTTCCTCTGAGTTGGCATTGACCCTTTAACAACTAACCTTTGAGTGTAGACATAAGTCCAGTCCAGGTCATCCTACACATACATACAGTCCATATCCTAACATTTTATTCACAAGCATAGCATGAGTAACTGTTTGGCTGACATCTGAGTACTTTTTGTCTATTGCACTGCGTTGATTCATCTCTCCAATTAGCTTGTTAAAAAAATTAGTTTAATCTGTAATGACTTGTTTGTTCATTCCAGGCTGGCTCTCGCCCTCTAGGCTGCTAGATCACCTCATCTACTGGAATCATTGTGAATGATTTTGCAAGGAATGCAAAATCATTTTAATACTAACTTAAAGAAAATAAAAGGATCTTGTGAAGCATCGCATGATACATTTTAAAGCCAATGAGAAATGTCTTTTTGGATTATACATACTATAATTTTCCTCCAATTACATAAATTATTGAGTTGATGTTGCTTTGCAAAACTGTCTTTAGACCACCTTAAAATTAATTCATTTTCTTAATTCTGCCTCCATATCAACTTTTGCATCTCATCACTTCTCTCCATTCACATGGTCACCTCCCCTCCTATGGTCACCTCCACTCCTATGGTCACTATCTTCATCTCTCTCCCCCTGGACCACTGAAGTATCCTCCTCATTGATCTCCCTACTTCAAATCTCTCCCATCTATAATTCATCCTCTACATAATTACCAAAATTATATTTTTCTAATGTTATTCCCCCACTCAAAAATCTCAATAAACAAAACGTAGTGGCTCCCTATTGTTTCTAGGATCAAATACAAACTTCTCTGTTTAACATTTAACAACCTGGCTCCAGTCTACCTTCCCAGGCTCATCATGCACTGTTCTATTCCCTCTCACGCTGTCTATGGGCCAGAAAACCTGGCCATCTTGCTATTCCTTACTCCTGACGTTTCTGGCATGAACGAACTCTCTCCTCATTTCTTTCTCTTAGAATGCCTTGCTTCTTTCAAAGCTCAGCTCAAATGCCCCATCCTAGGTTGAGGTCTTCCTGATTTCCCCAGCTGCTATTGCTTCCCCTCCACCTTCTGAAATTATTTTGTATTTACAGTGTGCAAATATTGTGTTCACTTATTTGTGCATATGTATTTGCTTTTGAGGGCAGGGGTTTCTTTCTTTTTGTTTTTGTATCCCCAGAGCTTGGCATATTTTGATCATTTTTCAGTCATGTCAAACTCTTTGTGACCCCATTTGGGATTTTCTTGGCAAAGATATTGTAGTAGTTTGTCATTTCCTTCTCCAGCTCATATTATAGATGAAACTGAGGCAAACAGGGTTAAGTGACTTGCCAGAGTCACGCTGCTAGTAAGTGTCTAAGGCTGTATCTGAACTCAGATCTTCCTGACTCCAGACGCAGTGCTCTA